TCCCTCTTTACACATACACACAACAAAGTTGCTCAAGAGAATGTTACTACCAGAATCCAACATGCAGAACGCGCTTCTAAATACTGTTCACACAAAATTTCCCTTATTACATACAATATACACTGCCTTTATACGTAACAGTGTGGAAACTAGTTGAAAGTGTCTCATTTCTCTAGGACAGATCACTAAAATAGTTATGCCAGTAACTTTTCAAGCGTGCATGCCTCTGCACTGACAAAACGCACGTTGCAAAAAGCGCATCTTCCCAAATGGAAGCAGCAGGGAGAGTTCCCTGACATATTTCAGCATGAAGTATTCGCTACAGTCCAAAAAGAAGCCTCTATTTTACCCCCTGTCATTTTAGGATGCTTTATACCTGGGTTTAACTGAAGCTTTTAAATTTAATCTCTTTTTGTTCTGTCAGCTCTCTTTTAACTCGCTTTCACATGTCATTCTATCTTTTGCTCCACAGTAAAGGTGGGTGCAATATTCTTCCCTTTGTTTATATTTCTTTGCTTTTACATGTCCCCACTTGACTCTCTCATACTGCCATTCATATACTTTAGAGTAGTTAAAATGCTACAAAACTTGAACATCTCTTGCTTTTGTGAGTGAGCTGAAGGGTCATAGTTGAAGCACATGGTTTAGTGACGTTGCTCTTAGAAAAAGGCAAAAAGAACAGATTATTTTTAAATGGTTAATGACCTAGGAAAAAGGCATACAAAATACTTGCTGGACGCTTTCAGGTTTGTCACTGGTGGGTAGGGTTGTCATAGAGAAACTTGTTGGGCTGGCTGTGTACTAGTTCTGTTTCCATGCCACTAATTAGCTGATGCTTATTTCATCCTTTCCCCTTCCTTTTCTGTTAGCTACTTGAGCCCTGTTTTCAGCTATCGGAAGTGACAGAAAATGTTAATGCTGAAGTTCTCCTTTTAGCTCAAGTTTGATGGAGAATAAAAGAACAGACAAGACAGCTCAGAAACCCTCCAGGCATATGTAGCATCCCAAAAACATTTGGTTTTCATCTTCAGCTGCAAATTATAGACAAGACGGATGTGTTTTAAACAAAAAAAGGTCTGTTTGACTTCATTCTTGCAGAAATGCTAATACTGAACCACTGTCAACTGCGTGAATCAAGAAGGGGACAGCCAGGAAACAGAATTTCCCTAAGAATACTGAGATCCTGGTAATTAATTCATAAAAAACTTACTAGTTGAATAATTTTTTTCTTGTGTTGCTGTTTAGCAAAAATACTGAGCCTTGGATTTTTGCCTGAACTCTTTGGAGACAAAGCATTATTTTAATATTCACCATACAGACGTCTGAAGAAAAGAGGGACCATTGCTTAGGTGTCCTTTTCTCTTTTAACATAGCCATAACTCAAATTCAGACTGTTTTCCAAACAGACTAAAGTAATACTTTGTTGGTGAGTATGAACATACACAGACTGCTGCTTCCTGGAATTGCCAAAATTTTGTTTCCTAAGAAACAATGCTGTTCAGCATGCAACTTATTCATACTTTTCAAACATCCCACAAAACCCTAGACAGTACAAGAAATAAAATTGCTTTGTTTATCAAGTTTTAAAAATACTAGAAACAATCTTGTTACATGCCCTAAGCATGACAGTTCGAACTAATTAATTATCTTCCTGAAGATTTAGTAGAGTGTAGGTTTTTTTCACAATGACAAAATAATACCAGCTGTATGTAATAGATTTTGGGGAGATTTTTATTATTTATTCTAGGAGTATGTGTCCCAAATTTCCTACAGGTACTTAATGCCAATTTTGAAAACTACCCTGCTGTGACCCCACATTCCAACTGAAGTCAGTCTCATGACATCTAGTGAAATTCTGAATCTCAGTAAAAGACACTGCAACATTGAAACAGAGCGTAGGTGAAATTTTCAAGAGTCTAAACTGACGCAAAATATAAAACCAACTGAAATTAAATGTAGACAGTTAAATTATACAGCTTAGTTAAATTATATGGCTTATTTTGGCAATTTTACCTGCATTTCAAAGGGTATTAGACCTTTTAAGATCATATTGTTTTACACAACTGGACCTGCAGAGGAGAAAATGGTAATTGTATTGATGTAATACATCATATTTTGTCTTAAGGGGCTTTTGGAATTGTATTTTAAAGGTGCCTATTTTACATAATTGATTAATTCATATCCCAGGGCCTCCCTTTACAAGACAACACTAGATTCTACTTGTAGATTCAAAATGATAGTGACTCTCTAGCTTCGCATAATTAACAGAATATTTCAATGCTTAAATCTTGTTAAGGTAGTCTTTAAAGGGTGAGATGGGAAAAGTATTTTATTGTTTTTAGGGCTGGAAAGGATGAAGCAACAACTATTTACAACCTCTGTTCATATGGGATTTTAGAGTCTTTGGCAAGAGTTGAAGATTAGTCACAAAATACCTGAAAAAATTTTGAGGAAAAGTGTAACATGGAGTTTAACCAGCCTCCTTCTACTGTTACTAATTTGGAAGAAAATGAAAACTGCCATGAATCACCTACTGCAAATTTTATGCATTTATTTCCTGAAATTCCAGCAGCATAATCCTTTGATTAGCACTGAGAGAAGTGAGGTATTTTAACTACTCCTACAGCCTTTTGCCAATGACTTACTATGGAATATTAGGATATCATTTAAGCTTCAGTTCTGACTGAAATGGATAGACTTGGGACCTCACTTTTGGAAAAGTTAGGAAGCTACAATGGCAATCAATGAGCCTGAAAAACTGCACAAAGCTAGTGCTTTAATCACTCCAGATAACACTAATTTCATCAGAAATTAGCAATCTAAAAACTAGGCCTCTACTCGCACTTAGGATGGTACAAGTCACTTTCTGAACTTATCTTCGTCGGTATACTAGAATTCTTCAGATAACGTCAGACTTAGTGGATAAAGTTTGACTACTCTGTATAAAGTATTACGGATCAGACTGTGACTGCATTTTAGCAGTAGTTTTCTGCAGTACACGTGCAAAATGAGTCATACTTGGCATGTGCAATCGCATCTGGCATGTAAACTTGCTAAATGTGTCTGGTATACTACCCAGTAATAAATGGGTTAATGCTCAATGCAATTTTTCAATATCAAACTAAGGCATACTGGAATACGTGCAAATGTAACCTTGACAGAAGCAAAATAGTATCATGGCCTGCAACACTGCCAAAGCAAACGTTATGTAAAGGTCAGCTGGAAAGAACGGCAAGATCCAGTTAATTAGAACCACACTGTCAGTGCTAGCATACTGGGGAATGACGGTTGTTCCTTACTGAGGGAGAGGTAAGCTTTGGTTCTTTGGCAGAAAAATGGCAAAACTCCATTATATTATGGAGTATATTATTTTTCTCTTGCCCTTTTTATCACTTCTGCTGTGACGTCTTTGTATTACCACTGTGCTTGCTGAACAGGATGTGAAGTCCTGAATGAGTCACCTACAGGAGTCGGTGGCAAATGTAACCCAAAGCTAGACAGGTGTTCTATCTTAATCTCAATCTCCATTTTGGCTTGGCACAAAAGCAGCCAAAAACCAAAAACAACAGTAACCAAAAAAATACATCACCTAAGATGGTGAGACACTGCTACAAAACCAACATAGTCTATTTTTTCTGTAACCTCTCAAAAATTCCTGCTTGCATAGTACTACCAGACAAGCTGCCATCTCTTCCCTTGGAACTTATTTTCTAATTCTCGTAATTTTGTAAACAGAAAAGTGCAATGGTTGCTAGTAAGTTAGTGGAATTCACAAAGTGCTCTGCAAAATACTAACGAAAGAACATTTTCATAAACCCCCCAAAGTCATGTGCACAACACACCGCATGACCAAGGTAGCGCAATGCATTTAACAGATGGCTCTGTTCTCTTTGAATGAAGTAACAGATTGGAGACACACAACATTTAATTTTACTCCATGCAGTTAATCCACTTCCACATGATGGCAAGGCAAGAGGGATGGCATTGGAGTATCAAATTCAGGTTCAATTGTTGTGTTGAATATTCACTATGTGAGTATCTCCCATGTCTATTCAGTAATTTCAACTATGGGTATACAAATTTCTTCTATTTTCTTTTTATATGTGTGTGGTCTGAGGGCCACTACATTAATCAGGTTTATATATATTTGTCATTTTGTCTTCCCATCCATATTTTTAAGAAAAGAAAACACATTTGGTAATAAAATGAATGTTCTGTTGCTCTTTATAAGAAACAGCCATTTGACATTAGCCCGACAGCCTTTATCTAACAAAAAGTTATTACACAAAAGAAAATGCTATAGAAGGTATTTAAACTCTCAGACAAATCTCTCCTGAGACATATCTGCCATTGCCAAACATAAGTAACCTCCACATTTTCAACTGATTGGAAACTGAATTAGACAGTCACGTATAATAGTGGCTACTCAGCTGCTCACCCCAGTCCCCACCACTATTTTTAAACAATAAAACTTTTCAAAAGGGAGTTACAATCCAACCACTCCTCATAATACAAAGCAGGCTGATCAGCATCTGACAGGGACCTGTCCAGTATCCACTTCGGAACTGGGCAAATATTATATATGTATGAATAACCCTGGACAAGGTAGGTTAGTATTATAACCTCTCAACAAAGAGTTATTCTACTCACCTTGGGTCCCTGGCTACTACATGGTTAGTTACACAGTAGTGGGCCATAAGCAGTTACATAGTGTGTCTGACCTATCACTGTGCCTAGTCATCAGCAAGCAGGAACACGAGTGCGTACGTTGCCCTACATATACACTGTATGCTCCAGACAAGGTAATACAGCATTTTAAAAGACAAAATACATCATGCAGAATATTAAGAATTTCCCCAATTTCTATTAATCAACAACTAGTAGTTTGGACATACAACGTCCTATGAGAATTTTGCTGCATTATGTTACAAGCAGCAAGGCAGCATATGAAAGAGAAGGAAGTGTTTTCATGCAGATGTTACCCACTCTTACCAGCTCACCTTTTTCCGATTAGCTGATGACAAGCTCCTGTAGAGTTTCTTGCCTTGCTTGCCAGCATTCCAAATGGTGAATGATGTCCAGGAGCTCAGGACCCTGTCTTCAAGAAACCTGACTCGGTGATTCCAGATGGTTCCCCTGGAGAGTTAGAAAAAGGATGGAGTTTGACTCCTAAAACATTTAACGTTACTATATACCGATATGCATATGTGTGTGTGTGTGTATATATATATATACTCACATACACCTAAACCTGACCAAACTGATTCACACAACACAAAAAAATGACACCAAAACATTATACTAGAAATTTCCAAGGGAAATGTAAACTGTTGCTAGAAAAAAATAGATTACGTGGAAGTTCTCAAAGATCATTTGGATAGATTTGAAGCTGTAGCTAAACCACTAGTATTTTCCAGAATGCTAACAGAAGATCACAAGGAGGTGAAAAATTGTGGCGATGGTAACTGAATTCAATAGCAACAATTCCAGCTGCCCACCAATACACTGTCCATTCACCATATGAACTGCTCTACAGCCCTGCAGTGCATACAGGCAAATTATCTCCTAAATCCGAGATGTTCCAAATCTTCACGTTCCATCTGTCCATGCATTCCTTCTCCTTTGTCAATGCAAAGTTGAAATCTCACAAATTCGGTACTCCAATTGACCCAAATATAGAGCCCAATGCTACAATGAAAGTCCATTCACATTCAGCTCAAGTCTCCAAGACGACTATTTTCAAAGCTCTGAATAGGTGGGCACCCATACAGCAACAAACAATCACTGAACTGCAACACAACAATATACACGCAAATGTACAAATAATACATACAGAAATAATCACAGGCAACACAAACTACCAGCTGTTACACATGATTCGCACTTGTGAATGTGCACACACGTACTTTAGACCAAATAAGTGATTTAATTTTAAAGGTTCCAAAGTATTATTCAGCAGAATGTGACTGTGCCTTTATTTGAAGATGACTTTCATAAGAAATAGCATTCCAAGAAACAAAGAACAGTGGACATCTCTCTAGAGATGTCTGATGGTCTGGCATTACAGTAACATCTGACTTCAATGAAACGTCTTCACATTTTTCCTTTTTGTAATGGATTATCAAATGTCACAACCCCAAATTTGCTGTTGCAAATTACTCTTATGAAGTATACCTCTGAAGTGCAAGTATAATGTTTGAGTTTATTGAGGCTAACAGATAACCTAATTCGTTCCCAAAAGTTTGTTAGCAAATTTTTCTAATATTTTAACGATAGGAATCCTGTGTTTTTATTTGCATTGTTCCTTCGCATCTCTTAGTTATGGTTTGAAAAACATGAAACCCTCATAGCACTGAGACATATGGATTCTTGCGGGGATTACTGGTTAGCTCTAGTGAGCCCACTTCACTTCAGCATGCGATTTTTGAGCACAGGCAAATCCTGCTTAGCACTTCATCATTGATTGTGGTGTGATAACTTGGAAAGAACTTCACACACAAGTAAACGTACCCAAGAAGAACAGTTACTCCGTATAAAACTTCCACACTGTTTTGAAGACTACAGCCGTGCACCAGCACTTCAACTGATGGAGGGGAAAAAAAAAAAAAATCTTGGATTTGATTGCAAATCTCTTTTAATGCAACCACAAGCTGCATTCCGGCTGCAAAGCTTTAGCTGCTGCTGGCATCTTTTGACACTTGCCTTTTTCCATGTTCATTAGAGCATACTATATTCCCAGAAGAAAAGTTAAAGGAAAGAAATATGAAGGTCAAGTATTTTTCCAGGATCACTTTACTGGTAATTTTAGAGCTTCTGCTAGCTCCTAAAAAGGAAGATTATTGCTTTACACGTAAATGGAAAGGTTTTTAAACTGATTTTACTTTGAAACGTGACTTCAGAAGGGTAACACTGTATTACATTCCAGAGGTACTTCGGAATCTGTTCTGTTGTCTTGAGTGACAAAGACAAGTTTCTTTTCCACTTGAGTTTGCAGTTTAGAAAGCAAAGGAAAAAAATAAGCACCCCTACAAGGCATAAGAGGAATTCTCAACTAACTTCTAGTTGTAGGGCAAAAACTCAAATCTACATCCAGGCACACAGAAAATGTTTCTATTAGTCATGGAAGTGTCCCAGCACATTTAGTACTGGTTGCTTCCAGACAGTATGCATTTGCTGTCTAGGTTCTTCTACTCCATAGAGTCCCTACAGAGGTAAAACGCAAGCAGACCAAATCTCGTTGTTGGTAATCACCCACAAAGAGTTCAGACTGAAGCAGATTTACTGACCCAATCTTATCTATGAATGTTATATTGAGAAATGCAAGTGCGGGAAGTTTTTAAGGGAATTGCACTCAGAAATAAAAGGATATGAAACTCATTAAACGCCAAACTAACTGGATCACTTCAAACAAAAGGATGTTGTCAGCCAGCTTCATTTAAACACCAGCAAATGGCTTTCTTAAATACCTATTTTGGCTTGGGAAAATGAAGCCAATAAACTCAGCACTTGTGATTTTTTGCTTGCGTCTCTATGAGGCATTCTTATGAAAATGTTCACAGAAAAGTATTTAAAAATCACATCCCCATATTGTGTGTGCCCTTTTTAATGAAACATTTAAGTTATATCGAACACCTTGCGGTCTTGAGTTAATCTTGAAAAACTTTTAACAGTGCAAACTGAGATCATCAGATAAATACAGAATTGAGGGGAGAATTTGTGACTGAGCTTTAAGAGGCTTAATCTTAGTGAAAACATGCTCTGCACGAACAATATATCTCACATGTTGAAGCAAAAGGTAGCTTACAGAGTGTCAAAAGAGAGAGTTTCAGTTATCCCCTTCAGGTTTCCGGTTCACCTAATTTGCCACATTTTTTGATGTTTCCAGAATAGATAACCAGGATTCCTGCCTTGAGGGATCAGGGAACGCCATTTTCCCAACCTTTAAGAGCCAGTGCAGGTGCAACAGATGGGAACTGTAGCAACGTGCAAAGGATGATTAAAGAAAATGCCCGAAACGATATAGAAGTTGTACAAACCACTACCCAGAGACAATTCTCACAGCTATTTTCAGATTTTGCATTATTACATATTCATAGCCACCAGCAAAAACTAGGAGGTATTATTACTCTGCCTCATCCCAAATCAAGGCTGCTTTTCCTACCCCTGCCAGAAAGGATGAAAGTAAGCCATTTCCCAGTAGCCTTTAGTTTAATTTCCTAGCCTGTATTCAGTTAACAAGATTTTCCTCATCCAGAAGGTGTGATACAAATTCTTCAGATTGTAAAAGGTGGTTCCCACATCCTAAGACTCCTTCTTGACCCAAATTCTTGAAGTACATTTCTTTCATTTTCTTGTCACTTCTTTACTTTACAGGTAAAGTTTACTTTACTTGGAAAATTATTCTTGAAGGCTTACATAATTTTCCTAGATCTCATCAGCTATGTAGTCTGGAAGGAAGAAGAGGAGCCAAAATTCTGCAGGAGTGAAATGAGGGTATTCACGCAGTGGGTGAGAATGACTGCGAAGTGTGTTCTTCAGTCCCAAGTAGTTATTACCATACCATCCACCCAAGTAATATAACAATGGAGCTCTGTTAAAATGTGTGGTGACCTACTGACTGAATACAGGAGTCAAGAAACATCTGCTCTACTTCTATTTTGAAATGAAAGATAGTGTGACAATAAAAGCTATATGATTTAATGTCTGAGCTCGCCATATTGTTTGACTGCTTTTCTCCTCCTTCCCCCAGCGAGCCTACGTAAGTGAATCAACAGAGCAAAGACAGATGTACAAGTACTTGAGAAATGCACAAGTATAAGCCCAATATCCTAAGCAGTACTGGAATTTTAGGCATTGATTACCATCCACAGCAATACTATAAATCTATAAATCTGACCTTTTCTATATACGTCGGTCCCGCACGATATTTGGGTAACACCAGACAGGAAGAGGAGCTATTCAAGCAAACGGCCTCTGCCAGTGGTTTTTTACTCATGGCAGGATAATAGAGTTTTATGTTATAGGTGACTCTCACCTGATAGATAATCCAGAGATGGAAGAACCGAGAAGTTTTTAATGACAGTGAGAGCTGAAAGAACACATTCTTTATAGCTAGTTTTGCAGGCAGAATTCAAGGTCCTTACAATCCACAGGAAATTCAGAAATGAATCCCATTTGAACCTTGACCATACTGGTGAATAAACGGATTTTTTTTTGGTTGTTGCTGTTCTGTTGAACTTTATGTGAACTTATTAATTGCTGGACTATATCGTCCCACTGAGTTATTACATTTACACTGTTAATAGGTTCTATTAATGTCCGAGTTCATCTTCAGGTCGTGGGTCATTAACTGAGGCATGGTTTGCATTGTGGCCTATTTTTCATGAAAGGCTTATTAAGAAAGACAGAGACTATCAAAGTTAATGCCATTTACTTTTCAAGAATCTAATGAGGTCATTAGTTCCCATGTTTAATTGAAGTGCCACATGCAAGCACAGGAGATAAAAACGCAGTTGACCTCAACTTTATTTCAGCTGTACATGAATACGTTACGCTATTCCCCTCTCCTGCCTATTTTCGGATGCGTACGTTTTTGCAGGGGATGAAGCAGGCGTTCCTGCGCTCATCGCTGGTACGAGACCCCTGCCTCAGAGTACCTCTAAAACAGCTACCTTCGTGTTCCAGACTAAGTGCCTGCTCTCCTTCGCTTAGAGGACACTGGAAGCTTCCAGTGCTTGAAACCAGATGGTTTCAATAGATTACGTAATTTTGGTTATTTCTGCAGAACGAGCTCTTACAATATTATACTCATGCTGAATACAAGGCATATGAAATTACTGTAAGCCTTATAAGTACACTTCACATTTTCTGCATAAAAGGGAATCGCCTGAATCTCAGAGGGAAGGTGCAAACCTTATTTTCTGCATATAATACATTTCTCTCTGTAAATTGCTACAAAGATGAGCTACCTGCCCCAACTGCCTGTCTGCATGAGCAACACTACCTGAAGACAAATACAATGTTTTATTGCTCTTCTTGTTCCAAGCTGACTCTTGTCTCCTAATGAGGTACATTGTTTTATATACAGTTCCTTTTTCTCCCCTATGGCAAGATAAAAATCTATGAATTTTACAATG